CCTAGCGGGAACATACAGCGCAGCTACGTCTTGCTCGAGAGGCGTTGGTGCAAAGTCCAGGAGAGGCATTACGAGCCTTGTTTTAAACCTCCCTGATGAAAATGGGAAAGGATTTAAGTCATTTGCGATGGTCAAGCAGGGTGCTACTGAAAGCTACATGCAGTTCGTGGACCGCCTTAATACTGCATTAGAAAGGCAAGCGGACAATTCAGAAGCTCGAACAATTCTGTTAAAACAAACAGCAATTGCAAATGCTAACGTAGATTGCAAGACAGTGCTTGATGCTCTGTTAGCGGCGAAACCCACTGGGGGAATTCCAGAAATGGTAGACGCGTGTAATGTTGTGGGAACACAGACTTACCAGCTGTCAGCTTTGTCTACCGCCTTTGCAGCGCTGAGTGCTCGGATTAAGTGTTTTTCGTGTGGTAATGTCGGACACACGAAAAAATTTTGTCCCCAAGGTCCTCTAAAATGCCCTCGCCGTAAGAAGGGCCGACATTACGCTAACCAGTGTCGATCTAAATACGATAAAGACGGTACGCCACTCGGCACTCCCCAACAATCAGGAAACGGGAAAAGGAGCGCCAGGGGCAGGGGTGCTCCGACAGCAAATCCCTCCTCAGCACCAGGAACCTGGGTCGGCAACAGCAATGTCTTCGCTTCGCCTTGCGAGCCGGCACAAGCGGGAGCGATGGCTTGGGCTTCCAGGGGTTATTGATGCTGATTATACAGGAGAGATTAAAATTATAATATGGACCCCTAATCCTCCTTGTTTTATTCCTGAAAAAACCCGCATCGCTCAATTAGTGTTTTTTCCCACCATTTGTAATTCGGCAAGGCACGAGCCCATTAAAAAGGATCGGGGAACAGCAGGCTTTGGATCCACCGGACTTCCTCAAATTTTCTGGGCTTCTACTATAACATCTCGATGACTGATAATTCAGCGTCAGATACAGCATTCATCTACACAGCAAGTGACTTCTATCCAAGGTCTACTTGACACGGGGGCGGTCGTTACTATTATTGCGGAAACCGATTGGCCTACTGACTGGACATTGTCTCCTGCGGTAATGACGGCAACCGGTGTTGGCGGCCCGATAACCCCATAGCAGGGTACCGAATTTGTGACTCTATCCGGCCCCGAACAGAGAACGGCAAACGTCAAACCTTATGTGTTACCTATACCAATTACGCTATGGGGTCGGGATGTTTTAACGCAATGGGGAATGGTGTTGCACAATTTTATTTGGGGGCCACTGACCAGCAGCTTATCCCACAGGCTCACGACATGTCCAGTCTGGGTGGATCAGTGGCTTCTAACACGGGAAAAGCTGCACCATTTAAAAGAATTGGTTGATGAGCAATTACGGTTAGGCCCTTCTCATAGCCCCTGGAATACCCCGGTGTTTGTGATAAAAAAGAAATCAGGTAAATGGCATCTACTCCAGGATTTACGGGAGATTAATGCTGTTTTGGAAGATATGGGACCTTTACAACAAGGTGTCCCTTCCCCTGCGACCGTTCCAAGAGAATGGCCTCTATTGGTTATGGATTTAAAAGACTGTTTTTTTACCATTCCAATCCATCCTGCCGACGCGGCTCATTTTGCTTTTTCTGTTCCTTCCCTCAATATGAGCGAACCTCGTCAGAGGTTTCATTGGACAGTTTTGCCACAGGGTATGAAAAATAGTCCCACAATCTGTCAGTGGTATGTAGCTCGGGCCCTTGCCCCGGTAAGAAAGAAATTTGGCAACTCCTTTATTTATCATTACATGGATGATATTTTATTGGCAGCTTCAAATGTTACTCTTTTACGTCTGTTGCCTCAACAGGTTCAAAAAAGTCTGGCAGAACACTCTCTGGTTATTGCTCCAGAGAAAATACAAACAGTAAGTCCGTGGCACTATTTGGGATAATACTAGTGCTAGGCCTCAACCTGTTAGCCTCAAAACCAATATTAATACTTCACGTGATTTACAGTGTTTGTTAGGCACGATTAACTGGGTACGCCCGGCTTTAGGAATCTCTACTGCAGATCTAAGTCCATTGTTTAAATTGTTAAAAGGTGATCCCAACTCTGCGTCCACACGAAAGTTGACAGACGAAGCTTATAAATCCTTACAATTAGTTACAACAAAGCTCCAGATAAACACTGTTGATCGCTTCGTACTTAATTCGCCAATTTTGTTTTTTGTTTTCACTAAACAGAAACCCTTTACTGCTCTTATTGGCCAGTTGGCAGAGAATCAACTGTGTAAACTCGAATGGATATTTCTCCCACATAATGCTACAAAAACCCTTCTGCCATTGGATGAGCAATTAGCTCTGCTCATAGGGAAAGGTCGTGTCCGTACCCGACAACTATTAGGTCAAGATCCTGACAAAATTTACTTATGCGTGACTACCATATATTTACAACATTTGTTACAGTTCAGTGATGCCTTTGCTGGTGCTTTAGCAGGTTTTACAGGCCAAATTTAATTACACTGGCCCAAAAATGTCCTTTTGCAGTTTTTTGATTCCATATCCCTTCTACAACGACCACTACTCAGTCTAACGCCGTTACCGCACGCTTTAACGGTCTGTACAGACGCCTCGGGGAAGACCGGCAAGGCTGTTGTTGTGTGGCAGGCCAATGCACAGTGGCATTGTGATGTGCATCATGTTGAAGGCTCCACTCAAATAGTTGAGCTGTCTGCTGTGGTACGTGCTTTTTCTTTATGGCCCTCACAAGAGTTAAATATAGCAATCAGTTCTCGCATATACTCCCTTTTCTCCTTTTTACTCAATCTCTTGTCAGGGCGCAAACATTCATATTTTACCATGCATTTGCGAGCCCATACTTCCTTGCCATGTCCTCTTGTTGAGGGCAGTCAACGAGCTGATGCCTTAACAGCGCCGGCGCTAACGCCTAATACTCTACAACAGGCCCAACTTTCACATGATTTTTATCATCAGAATGCCACTGCGTTACAACGCCAATTTCACCTCACGAAAGAACAGGCTCGCTCTCTTGTTCGGTCCTGTTCTTCTTGTCAACATCATTTTTTACAGCCCTTGTACGGTACTAACTCTCGAGGTCTATCCTCTCAAGATTTATGGCAGACAGACATTACTGACATCGCAGACTTTGGTGTTTTTCGCTTTGTCCATGTTTCTCTGCATACCTATTCTAATTTACTGTTTGCCAGTGTTCATCGTGGAGAGCGCGCTCGAGATGTCTGCGCTCACTGGACGCAAGCTTTTGCTTTTATGGGTATTCCTTGCACGGTTAAGACTGATAATGGTCCCGCATATGTCTCTGTGAAAATTCGCTCTTTTCTTCAAGCCTGGGGAATCCAACATCTAACTGGTATTCCACACAACCCTACCGGGCAAGCTTTAATTGAACA